CTCTGCTCTAACAGAGAGTGAGAGAAAAGATGCCTACTTCTGACTTGGGGCTGGAGAAACTCTTATAAAAAGCAGAAGAAGTAGGAGCCAGAGATCCAAACAGTATGAATCACGTCCCCTGTATAACAGGCAAGGACTAGGGCTGTTCCAGGGTAAAACTTTGGGGAAAATTCTAGCTGCCAAACCCAGAGTGGTCTTTTAGATTCTTGTAATTGTTGAAATTAACATGAGAAAAGGAGGAGCAGAGGCAGCTAGAATAATGGAGTGAAGAAAACTCAATCAGCTGAGGTAATTGTAGAAACCTAGCAAGGACTCCAGTGACTACTATACATGAGGACTTCATGAGACAGAAGAAAACCCTAATGGTGGCCCTATTTCTTTGGGGAAAGAGGTATGAGAGTGGACACTTCTGAGCCCCTAAAAGGTAGAACACTGGAGAAAGTTGGGGATGATGAGGCTCCTGGCTAAGAAGAAATCCCAGCTATAGCATTCCTACAGGTGAAGAGCATCAGGGAAAGAGGGTGTATGGATGGACCCAGAGCTTTAGCTGTCTTTAGCTCTCACAAAGAGAAGGCCCCAGCCAGGCAAAGATCCCATCTTTTTCTTGCAGAGGGAGAATCCTAGGAAGAGGGGCAGCCGTAAAAGCACTAACTAAGAGGTACTTGATGGCAAATTCACAAGTAGCAAGCACTCAAACCACCTCCCATCACAAAAATAGAATGGGTCACATGTGGTTTTAGTACCAATTGTGAGGCTTTCGTTTCCTACAGGAGTTGCAGAGATGAAAGAAGAGGTGAAAAATCTGGGGTATATGTTGGACCCTGGCAGCGTTCAGAAGTAGGTACATTGGTGGAGATCAAGTCCAGACTTGTTAAAGTGTTTACCCAAAGCATGCAGGGACAGAATATCTGGATGTTTCATCCTCATCCAGGCATGGAAGCCACAGGAAAATCAGGGGAGGGAAGAGCCCCAAATTCCCATTCTCTCTGCTTCCACTCTGGATCCTCTAACTTGAAGCTTTATTTCGAGAGATTACCGAAAATTCAAAATATAGAAGAAAAAGACGGAGTCATGGAAGGACCAAACCAGTTTTCTCTCTCCAAGAATGGGATCTGACTTAGTGTAACTGGCTTAGGTTATACAGCATAAGCTTAAGCTTGGAAACCTTTAGAAAACTGTGCAGAAAGTCTATATTATCTGAGATGGATGATTTTTGAAATCACCTGAAAGATCTGCCAATTGACTGCATTATCTCTGGGTTCCATAGCCCATAGATTCCTCTTTGTGATAGTGAAGAAAAAAAATTAGGTAAGATCTGGGTATGTGTGAATTTCCTGGCTCTCAGCAGACATTCCAAAATAGTCCAGCACACTGTGTTCCACATACAGGATAGCTTAGCCATTTCCTATGGAGCCAGTTGCTTCCAGCACTGAATGTCAAAGCAGGTATTATATAATAAAATTCCTATAACTGCAGAGGACATTAACAGGCAGTAAATTTTATCTTGTATAGGTCTACCAATATGTACGGTTGGGGGTTTTAGGAACCCATGTTACTATCCAAAGGTTGCTGGAGAAAGTGATTTGTCATTTTAATTTATCTGGAAGCATTTATTTATTCATTTATATATCCATATTTATATATTCATTATATATTTATTCATATGTATATCATCAAAATCTTGTAGGAGCATGAACAATGGCTCGTTAAGAGTAGTGAACATGTTTTTTGTCTGCTCAGATTTTCTTTGAGACAGTGCCCCTCCCAATTCTCCATCTGTGTAGCCTGGTTACAGCTGGCTCTCACACTCTGCTTCTAGGAGTGGCCACATGCCCTAGGTCTGGCCAATTAGAACATTCCACCTAACTGGGCTCAGTGATTGGTTAGTGGGTGAGCATGTGACCCAAGCTAGGCCAATGAGATCCAACCCCCAGAATTTTTCTGCCATTATGTGGAAAAACTTGTGCTCTGCTGGATGGAGTTGCTAACTGGGTGGAATATAAGCTTGAAGCTGCTGGATGGGATCATTGTGACCATTTGGGGAAAAATTAGATGGAAGGAGAACTGAGAATGAGTCTGGTTCTTGCTAACATAGTTTGAGCACCTCTCCTTAGCTGTTTCTGCAGTGAGACCACCCCTTTATTTGGCTTAAGCTAGTTTTCTGTCCCTTGCAACTGAAAAGTCATGCTAATACAACAGTGATACTGGACCATATGGGACACTCGGGCCTGAAGTTGTTCCATTACAACTTCAGTAATTTTGCTTGATCTCAGTAAAAGGTGATGACATGTATTATTACACAGCGGGTAAGCACAGGCCATGAGAAGATGTCCATTATTAACAACTGGTCCCACTCCATCAGTTATGGCAAATTAGAAACATTTATAATATTTATGATAAACTCCTCCAGGATTGCAAAATCCTTTAGTGTTCTAATTTGGCATTATCAGGACAGATCCAGGGCACCAGTTCAGAAGTCATCCTTAAAAACCAGAAGGAAGTCAATTCCCTCACTCCCTCAAACCCTTCTTGGAGTTCGATGCCTTGGTAATTTTGGTGAGCTACTTGGTTCAGGCTTGCTTGCCCTAGTAATTGCTGACTCAGACTGTTGTCAATTTTGAGGGCATCCGGATTAGGTACTATGTTAGAAAAATGAAGAGAGTCTATTGTTTTTGTTAGCATAAGTTTTATAGTGAGATACAACACTATTAAAAAACCAGAGTTCCTGCCTCAAAGGTGGGAAATCACAGTTAACTTTTGAAAGAACAAGTATGTCAGGTGCTAGACTACCCTACACTTGCCCATGTGTTTCCCAGTACTAGGCTGGCTGCTTCTGGTAAAAGCCACTATAGGTCTCTGAGAATTCTGATACTTTCTCTTCACTGGGTATGCTCATAGGCCATTGAGAGTCAGGCTCTGAGGCAGGTCTAGCAGGAAGCTCATGTCTTGGATACCATGCTTATAGTGGCATTTGACTGTGTGGCCCAGGGCAGATCATTACTACCCCAACTGTGAGTGTAGAGTTGGAAAGAGGAGTGATTGGCAGGACCCAAGCCAAGTGTGAGTTCACCCTAGAGGAAATATTTAAGGCTTCCTAAGGGAGAAGACCAGAGCCTCCTCCAAGGGAGATAGCTTTAAGACCTGATTGATGGGGTTGTAGAGAACATTTGATATTTTCAGCTGTCTAGCACCTGAACATCCTTCTCATTTTGGAGGATTTCTAAATTAGATGGGTGGTAGGACTGATAAACTCTGTATGATGTTGAGAATGTTGCCAGAATGATGCAAGAATGAAACAAAGTGCTATTTTTTGAATTTGGGGCTGCCTATTAAGCTCAAAATCACCAATTAAAGGTATAACACTGAAAGTAGGAGAGGAAAGTCAAAATGATTGACCAAAATAATTTATCACTGATGGTAGAACCCATGAAAAAAGCTGTATCCCTGATTCTGTCCCACCTGGTAGGCATTAGGGCTGATGAGGAAGCCCTCTCCCAGCTACTATTCCAGGCTCCGTGGGGAACAAGGAGAGAAAACCGGACAGTGGTTCAGAGGATAAAGGCAGAGGCCTTAGGATTCTTGGGTTGCAAGTAAAAGAATCTAGTTGGAGCCTGCTTAAACAAACAAGGAATTTATATATGCAGCTCCTGGTAGACCTGAGAAAGAGAGACCCCTTCCTGGGGCCCCATGCCTAGAGGACCCTGCTTTGGCTCTTCTTTGAACCCACCTCTTCCCATAGGATGAGAAATCCATGGGGCCAAGGGCACTTATCCACCCAGATAAAATTCCTCTCCTCTTTCCTCCTCCTTCTAGACCATGCTCAGTATCCTGAATCTTGGAATTCCCTGCCCAAATGGCCTCTAGCCTGTTTCCAGGAACTACATGGGCCTTCTTCTAGGATCTGTTCTCTTAAGGACAACAACATTGTTGTTGTTTTTAATATATTTTAAAAATTAAATTTAATTTTTTATGGGGGGGTAGTGAGGAAAGGGTTCAATTTCTTTTTCTTTTTTTTTTTTCTGAGACAGAGTCTCACTCTCTCACCAGGGCTAGAGTGCTGTGGCATCAGCCTAGCTCACAGCAACCTCCAACTCCTGGGCTCAAGTGGTCCTCCTGCCTTAGCTTCCCAAGTAGCTGGGACTACAGGAACACGCCACGACACCCAGCTAATTTTTCTATTTTTAAGAGAGACAGGGTCTCACTCTTGCTCAGGCTGGTCTTGAACTCCTGAGCTCAAGCAATCCTCCCAGAGAAGGACAGCATTGTTAGTATCAGCACCTAAGGGGTAGCCAAGGGACAGTTGTTTGTAAGGGGATTGCTATGGTATGTATGCAGCTTGTCCTCATCAAAATTCATGTTGAAATTTGATCCCCAATGTGGCAATGTTGGGAGGTACGGCCTAGTGGGAGGTATTTGGGTCATGGGGGTAGATCCCTCATAAATAGATTAATGCTTTCCTGCTGGGGTGAGTTCTTACTTTCATGGGAATGGATTAGTTTCTGCTAGAATAGATTTTTTTTTTTACTATTTAATTTTTTTTGAATTATCTTATTTTTTTGATTTTTTATCTTCCTATCCAGATAGATTGTTAAAAAGAGTCTGTCTTCTTTGGTTTCTCTCTTTTGTTTTCCCACCATGTGATCTCTTTGCACATGCTGGGTCTCCTACTTCGTACTATGAGCAGAAGCAGTATGAGGCTCTCACCAGATATAGCTGCTCAATCTTGGACTTTCCAGCCAATTGAATCATGAGTCAAAATAAACCTCTTTTCTTTATAAGTTACGCAGCTTCAGGTATTCTCTTATATCAACACAAAATGGACTAAGACAGAGATGGATGGAAGGAGCTTGGACATGTACACAAGAACTCCCCTCACACTCTCACAGTGCAGGATAGAGTTGGGGGTGGGAAGAGAAAGGGGTCAGTTCTTTGCCTCTTCCTTTCCCCATGTTCTGTTGGTCTCCATTTATACTCCTGCAAATGTTAGGTGTGGGCTTCACCTTAGCACAGGCACAAAGCTGGACCTTAGGAAGCTTTAGACTCAGGAAATTGATTACTGCTTGTATTCTTTCCATTCCTTATTCCTGCTCCTTTCAGAGCATTTCCTTCATCCTTCGTTGGCTTTCTGAAGACTGGCTTCCTTTGCAACTCAAACCTCAGGGTGAACAGTGGCCACAGCTAACTCCAGAGATTTATTCTAGGTTATAGGTCCAAACCCCTGAAAGAGACCAGTCCATGTTTAGGGTACTATTTCTAAATATTTATAAAAGAAACTCTAGTCAGCTCAGCCTGGGTCCCATCAACTATGGCCAGGGACAAGGCCACATACCAATTGAGAAGGGGGACATCACTGAATTGATCAGAAGTATTATAAGTATCCACTACAATGGGCAATTGACTGATCAGCTGGGTCATTAATCCACTCATACCCTCAGGTCTTAATTTAGGCAGTGCTTTTGGGGCTAGTTGATCTATCCAATGAGGTCCTGGAAATGAATGAATCACCTGGAGAAGCAAAGGAGGAAAAAACTACCAATAAAGAGAAAGATTCTCCATCAGAAAGGTTGTAATCTCATTTTCAAGAGACTCATTGTTTAGAGTGGGGATGTGCTGTTTATCTAAACACTCACCAAGTGTGGCCTTTTCTACCTCATAAACATCTCTCAAATCTATACAGCATTCTCCATCTTTTGCCTACATTGTTGCAACAATGTTTTCCAAGTCTTCAAAGTTCACCCCTTCCAGTCTATGGTGATTCTCAAATGCAAATATGATCATGCCACTCCTGTGCTCAAAATCTTCGATGCTCCCCATTGCTTGAGAATAAAGTACACATTCCTTATGTTGGTTTACAAGTCTCTTCATGCTTACCCTGTATCTTTATCCCTCACCACCCTTTACCTCCTTCAACATTATGCCAGCCTGCACTACTTCCAATGTGCTCAAAGAGCCAAATGCTCTTCTTTGGGCTTTTGCATATGCTTTCTTTCTGTGTGGCCTATACTTTCCTCTGGCCCTGTCACCTAACTAGAAAAGGAATTAGCTTACAGATGACGATTTTGAAGTGCTTATAGGGCATCAAGTAGGCATTTGGACATACAGAAGAAGGGCTAGGGCTGATGCTTTAGGAGGCTGAAAAGGATGCCATCCATAGATCAGATCTGGTAATTAGCTTTCAACTGAAGGAAAGACATGCTTCCTCAGAAAGAAAGGCGAGGAAGCAAGAATGGGTATGGGTTTCATAGGCTCTTGAGAGGATGGAAGGAAGGGGGGTTATACCTGTTGGTCTCTGTGAAGTAAAAGGTGAGATTACATTTACTGATCTGAGGGTATAAGGCAGTCATTTGAGATGAGTGGTGAAAGTTTGTAATGCAGAGGAAGTAGATACAGGATGAGCCAAAAGAATCCTAATTATGACCAGAGATCAGCCCAGAGCTAAGTTGGTAAACTAGGTTTTTCTTTACCTATGCCCAGCTGCCTGGGTCTGAGAGCAGAAGGAGACCATTGTCTTGGTCTGGGATTGAGCTTTGGCTGGGTGACTCTTTTGGAAAGACAGGAGAAATAGTTGACAGTATTGGAAGAAAATGGTTAAAAAGATCCACCTTGGGGTTAGGTCTGTGGTTCCTTGGACTAGAGCTAGTCTATGACAAAGTTTCATAAGTTTAAGTACTACATTTAGTTTAATGTGACATATAGTCATTTCTTGGGAAGGATGGTCCTTTATAAATATTCTACAATTATATTCTCTACATTTGGACATTTAAATGTTTTTTTAAAAAATTTAATTATGGTGGTTGTATCATTTCCTACGGCTACCCGTAGCAAATTATCATAAATTGGGTAGCTTAAAACAACAGAAATTTATTCTCTCCTTATTTTGGAGGCCAGAAGTCCAAAATCAAGATGTTGGCAGGATTGGTTTCTTCTGAAGGCTCTAAGGGAGAATCCGTTCCATGCCTTTCTCCTAGCTTCTGGTGGTTGCAAGCAATTCTTAGTGTTCCTTGGCTTAGTGTTCCAATCTTTGCCACTTTTTTTCACATTGCCTTCCATCTGTGTCTGTGTCTCTAATCTCCCTCTGCATTTCTTATAAGGACACCCGTCACTGGATCTGGGATCCATCTTAAATCCAGGATGATCTCATCTCAAGATCTTTAATTTAATTATATCTGCAAAGACCCCTTTTCCAAATCAAGTCACATTAAGAGCTTCTAGGGCTTAGGAGTTGGACATGTCTGTTTTGGGAACCACTATTCAACTCATTACAGTGATATTAGGTGGTAATCATTTTTCCCCAATGTCTGTGCTTGGCCAGGAAGAGAAAAAAAAAAAAAAAAGAAAGAAAGCAGAGAGGCAGAGAGGTAGGTAGGTCAGAGAGAGAGTGGTCTATTAGAGTTAGGGTTTCAGAGAGGGAGCAGTTCATGGGTATGATGGGTATTGTCTGGTTCTTGTTTGCAGCGTCCTGGGAGAAACCAGCAGAAACACCAACCACAAAGCCCTATGTCAGGGTAGGATACTGGGCTAGATTCTTCCATTGTCTTGGAAAAGAAAACATGATCCAAGGGGTGAATTTCAGTTGTGGTTAGGGAACATAGCCAGAGGTCAATGCTGTAAGAACAGAATCAGTGAGGAGTGTGAGATTAAGACTCAGCAGTCAGGGAGGTCAGGAAAGGGCTGAGACAGAGAATAGGGCTGTTGGAGAGGAAAGATGGAGAAGGTAAACAAAGGGTGCTCTCTCTAATCTTATGGCTTCAGGGAGAGTTAGTTTAAAAGCACATGGGGCAGCAAAACAGTTATTGCTTGTTCAGGTAAGTCTCCCTTTCTAGATGGTGGGCTCATCAAGGGCAGAAATAGTGTCTTCCTGAGTACTCAGCAGAAGATCTGGCCCATGGAAGGGGCTCAGCTGAATTGAACTGAAAGAGCTCATTTTAGACTGTTCTTCTCTTTTACCATTAACATTTAATAAATCTATTTTAGGTACAATTATCATATTGCATATTTGATATATGATGACCTATTACATTTTTTTTGTTTTTGTGTTTTGTTTTGTTTTTTTTTGAGACAGAGTCTCACTTTGTTGCTCAGGCTAGAGTGAGTGCCGTGGCGTCAGCCTAGCTCACAGCAACCTCAATCTCCTGGGCTCAAGCAATACTACTGCCTCAGCCTCCCAAGTAGCTGGGACTACAGGCATGCGCCGCCATGCCCGGCTAATTTTTTCTATATATATTTTTTAGTTGGTCAATTAGTTTCTTTCTATTTTTGGTAAAGACGGCGTCTCGCTCAGGCTGGTTTCTAACTCCTGACTTTCAGCAATCCACCCGCCTCGGCCTCCCAGAGTGCTAGGATTACAGGCGTGAACCACCGCGCCCAGCCTCTACATTTTTTTGTTTACAAGATGAAAACATACTGCTCTTGAACATATACTCCCAGTACCTTAGAAGCCTTAGTCCTAAAACAACATAATTTAGAATTTCACACATTGGCACTGAGGGGGGAAAAATAGGATTCTGTCCTAAGTGAAGTTTGAAGAATAGTAGTGATCTTCATTGAGTGCCTCCTTTGCAAGAAATACAAGATGAGCAGAACACAGGTAGTCACTCTCCTTGAATTGAAAGAAACTCACTGTGGGTGTAATCATTTTTCAATCAAATGCTCAGAGCTGAAGACATAAATGACCAGGCCTTCTACGTTTCACGGTTATACTTTTCTTACTCAAATGGTGATCTTTAAGCCATAGAAGTTACACCATTTCCCCAGATTTCAAGGATGATGTCCCTGCAGAGATGTATGAGAAGGCTGCAGGAGGCCTTTTGTTTTAATACGTAGATGATATAAATTATCTCTAAAGGCCACTTGAGATTTTATTGTTGATAGCAAAGAAAAATGCTATTAGGTTTTTTTTTTTCCTTTAAATCAAAATTGTCCAATAAGGGAATAGGACTGATTTTGCCCTCTAACAATGAAACATATAAAACATTTTTTAAGATTTGAGACCTGTGGAATTACAGGGTGATTACTGTACATTCCAGAAAGGAGGCATGAACTACAAATTGCTCAAAACTATTGAAATAATGGCCACAGGAAGTTAGCATACGTTAAAGCCCTATATGGTGTTGTATTTCAGAAATAAGCTGGGCTGGAAAATGAAACCAGTTTCTCTTCTTGCTGCTGAGTTTTCCTGAACTTCCTACAAACTGCTTGGAATTTTGCAAACAATTCACAGCTGACAAAATAAAAGGGCAGCAGAACTCAGTGTCTGTGGTGAAGATCCTAGGGGTAGCTAGCGGGAGGGAAAGGTCACTGTCTTCCCCTTTTGGTTCCTGTAACCAAAGAACTGTACAATTTTTTGGTTTTCCTTTTGTCCTTTATATAAACGGGAGTCAGCTGAGGACCTACAAAAAGGACTACTAGGGTAACCTGAACTTAGACTGCCCGAGAGCCTTCTTGGACAGTTTACTTGCAACTTTTGCTTATTCACTCAAAGAACATTCACAGGCTATCCACTGTTTGACAAGTCCTGTGCTGTGCACTGAATGATTCGAGGACACATTCTCCACCCACGAGGAACTCTAACAGTGGTGAGAAAAACACCTGGAAACAGACACTTTGAACATGGTGTGCCAAGGGTTGTGCAAAGGCCAGCGCAGGGGGCTGTGTGAGCATAGTCCATGAGATCAGATGCAAAGAAGTAGTAGTTTGCCATTTTATAGTGGAGTATGTTGTGTGGAGGAGAAATGTTCTGTTTTGAGAACTCTAAATACTTCAGTTAGGTGGTTCGCAGGAGTGACAGGAAGACCTGTGTGGGAAGAAACTGGAGAGGTAGGCAGGGGCTAGAATCATCAAAGCCTGGAATGCCAGGCTAAGAGACTGAAGCCTTATCCTGAGGACAAAAGGAATTTAAGCAAGGGAATGACATGCTCAGATTTTTTATTTACAGCAGTCACTCTAGCTGTGTGGGGTATGGATTGGAGAAGGCAAGGTAAGGAAATGACCAAGAGGCTATTGCAGTCTGATTAAAGATGAAGGACTCTGGTAATCTGATCTTCAGTCAGCTTTCAACAAAACTTTCTCAGGCTTGGCGTTAAATCATATGAATTGGGGAAACCAAGGAGTAAAGAATCATGCGTTAAAGCAGATGCATACAAGTTTGGGGCAGTCCAAATGTCACCTCCTTTAGGAAGCATCTATTCACCTGCACATGGGCAGAGACCATCACTGTCTTATGGGTTCCCATAGTACTTTGTCAATTTCTCTATTATAGCACTTATCATATACCTTTAATTATTTTTTCCTTTTTTGGTCCCTCCTCTATGGATTCTGGACTCAATGTTAGGGACTCAGTCATTCATTTTTGTATCCCCAGTGTTTGGAAGCATTAGTAAACATTTGCCAAGCAAATAAAGGGGAGAGGAAAGCTGTGTGGTATAGTAGGAGAGGCAATGACATGGCAGTTGGGAGATGGGGCCCTAATCCTGGCTGTGCTATTAAGTGGCTGCATGACTTTGAACAAGTCACCTCACTGCTCTCTGGGTCTCAATTTCCTCATCTATAAAATGAGAATAAAAATATAACTCTCCTCCCCAGGGTTATGGAGATTAAATGAGGTAACAGAACTCACCAGCTGCCTGCCCTGTTTGTGCCCTGCCCTCATGAAACAGCCTGAACTATTGTTCCTGCCATTTGGATCTCATTTGCTCTCTCTCTCTCTCTCTTCCCTGGTGAGAGCTGAGCTAAAATCTGTTGCCTTGTTGGAGAGGAAGTTTGCAGCAGTGGCATACATAGCACCTAGTTTGCCTCTGTGTTGTTGGAAGGGCAGACACCAAAAGAGGGGAGCATGTCAGGCTAGAGAGAGAGAGAGACCTGCTTCTTTTGTGATCCCTAAAGCTGAAGGAGACCCAAAGTGGTAAGAGTGAGGCAGAGCAGATCTGTATCATTGCTGAGGAGTTTGAAGAAGCCCTCAAACATTGCCCTGGAGTTTAGCAGCACCTGGAGGAATGCCACTTCTATGATGTCTACTCATTCATCTAATGTCATAATTTCTCAGTGTCTTGGGCTGATATGATTAACTCTAGCACGGACATTCAAGTGCTAAGAAATAAATGGAGAGGTAAAAAATTGCAAATGCCAAACAAAAGGAATGCCATTTGGAAAAAGTGGAAAATCATGATTTTTAGCCACTGCTGTCTCAAGAGTTGACTCTCAATTCCCAGGTGAGTCGTCTTTCCAGAAGATCCACTAACATTGTTCTTTTTTCATTGTAAAGGCAAACTTTTCCTTCCTATATCAAGTTCCATCAAAACTTGATATATTTCCTACTTACAAGTCATGTGGCTGGGGAGGCCCTGAAATCTGCAACTGATAATTTGTAGTGCTTTCTTGGAGTCCCATTTGGTAAGTGAGTTTATTTAGTTGCATGGAGTGGACCTTATCACAAGACAAGTAGTCAAGAGGTGATGAGAGAGGAAAAAGAAGAAGAGATTGAGGCCAGTGGAATCCCTCCCCAAAGTCTAATACCAGTCAGCCCTGGTATTAAAGCTAGTGACCTTAAAAAAAAAAAAAGAGTATGTTTCCATTTTGCAAGGCTTTTAAAAAAATATTGTGTGCTCAGATGGCACCTTTAATCACGAAGAACTTCTGGCTGAGTTCCAGACTGATTCTGCTGGCACAGAGAACTCTGAGATCATACCCTATATTCAGAGCACAGAAGAACTATTTCATCCCTCTCTGAAATAAAGAGGGAGAAATGAAACATATTTGAACAGTTGCAGAACAAAACCATACCAGGGTGAAAAGTGAAGGACATCCGACTCATTTGGAGTTATTATTAATTCTAAATACTTAAGTGGCATTTTTTTCCTTCTCAGTGTTTCACAATACACTAAGCAGCTTGCATAAATCTATTTCACAGATATATAAATGAAGGCAGACAGATTTCATGATTTGCCTAAGACTGCTTAAATTAAAAAAAGAAAGGGAAGAGGCAAAGGAAAAAAAGCAACTCCCAAAGTAGCAAATTGTGACCCAGGCATTTGAGCTCTTAGAGCTAAATTTAATCCACACCCAGGCCAAATATAATCCTCCAGGATGGAAGTGGTCCAGGACACCAGTGTTAACATTTTCTACCTTTGCAAAGAACTTGAGGTGTTTTGGTGACAAGTAGTCAGAACCTCACTTCTATTTCTCAATTGAAAGAAAGTAAGGCCAGCATCATCTGACAGTGCTTCCCACAATGGCAGGGCACTGGTTCAAGCTTATCTGAAGGAAGTGTGCTTCTCCTTGATTCATCACTGCCTCTTGCATCACTGTTATTCTTTGGAGGTCTCTTATTCAAAGGTCTATTTAAATTGGAGAGTTGGGTCATACAATTTTAGTTGAATCCCAGCTTTACTACATGTGTCAGTCATGAGCTCTTGATTATATTCTGTACTTATTCATCACTATATCCCGCAAAGCCTCAGCTGAGGGAAAGGCCCGGGTGATTGCTCTGTGTATTAGAAATTGAAACCCCACCACAAAATGATGAAAAGTGGTCCAGGCAAAAGCTGCTGTGGAAATATGAAAGCCATTATCTTTTCCACACTTCCTCTCCTTTCATTCTCATTTTGTTTGGGAATGCACAGGGACACCCGTGAACAAAAATAAACCATCTTACCCTTGACTGATTGTTCTGCCTTTTGAGTTATCAAACTTGAGTACTTCTGGCTCCCAGATATGGTGAAGCAGAGACTGCTGGGAAGCCAGCCACAAATCAGAGTTGATCTTTCAGCATTTTCTACCTGGAGGAATGGTTCAGGAGATTATAATTAACGAGTCCTGCCCCAAAGTTGATCTGGCTGCTGAATCACATTTGGATTTCAGAAATGTAAGAAAGCATTGAAGAATCCTGGTATGTGTTCTTAGCTCAACCCAGTCCATCTATACTTACTGGCTTGCTTGTTTGCTTTATTTTCTTTCTTTCTTTCAGCACTGTGGATTAAATGAAATTTTTTTTTTAATACTTACCAGCTCTTTTTAACCAGTTACTCTATGGCCATTCCACACATTTTGATTGTCTGCTCCCAGGAACTGTCTCAACTTAGTCAGGGCACCTTTAAGGAAGGCAGAACCAGGCCAGGTGAGGTGGCTCACACCTGTAATCCCAGCATTTTGGGAGGCTGAGGTGGTAAGATTGGTTAAGGCCAGGAATTTGATACCACTCTGGGCAACATAGTGAGACCCTATCTCTACAAAAAATAAAAAAAATTAGCTGAATGTGGTGGCACGTGCCTGTAGTCCCAGCTACTTGGGAGGCTGAGGCAGGAGGATCACTTGAGCCCAGGAGTTCGAGGCTGCAGTGAGATGTGATTGCACCACTGCACCCCAGTCCAGGTGACAAGTGACTTAAATACAAAAAGAGAAGGCAGAACCACTTTAGGAGGTAGTGGGTGAAATGAGGCCAATCAATATAACAGACCCTCTCAGGGTGTGTGGTTTTGCTAGGGCTTAAATCAGGTTGTCAACTCAAACACAATGGGCTTTGTTACTCTTGTGTAAAGAGGAAATGGAGCAATTTTTGGCCTCCTCAGATTGTATGCAGGATGGCAATTCCAGGCACAATCTTCAGGAGACACAAATCTGCTTTTAGCTATTTAGTGTTCCCCAGAAAGTTAATCAGCTGTTTCTGAAGTGCGTGGAAGTATTCAGCATTTTCATACTGAATCCCAATCTTATAGCTTTAAGCTCGGGGGGGGGGAGGGAATTGGTATATGAAAAAGGGGGTCTGTTAGGGAAACAGAGCCCTTTTGGAGAGAGATTCTGACACCTGTGATATATCTCAGAAATCACACACGCACTGTAGTTTCAAGACATTTTTTCTGGCTCAAGCACTGGAGCTGGAGGGCTTGCTGAGTCGCCCCACTATTTTAGGTGTGCGGGGTTACCTCTGGGTGGAAAAGTCCTTGGGTGAGAAGCACAGGGTAACTGCAAAATGCCTCCCTAAGAAATGCCTAACTGCCCAAAGGGCGATGCAGGGACTGGGGTCAGAGCAGCCAGGAAGGTTGCAGGGGTCGGGTGCACATCCTCTCACCGACTGGTAACGGTCCTGCAAGTGGCTTTGCTTTATGTGACAACTTATCACGAGGGCTGGGGAGGATCTATGCCCAGAGACCTCCTAAAGACCAGAAGAGCGCGCGCGCCCAGCCAAGTGACAGCACTCGCCTGTGTATGTCCGCTCCCCTCCCCCACGGCCAGTCTCCGGGCAGAGGCATCTCGCGCCAGCCCATCCTCCCCAGCTCCTCACTCGTCCGGGCGGACCGAGCCTCAGCGGGAGCCCCGCCTGTCTCCGGGCAGCTTGAGCCCCGAGCGCTAGTCCAGCCTGTCAGTAACTGCCGTTTGCGCTTTCTTTCTTTCTTTTTTTTTTTCCTCCTCCTCTTTTCTTTCCCCTTCTGCCTTTGTCCCGCTTAGTAACTGGGCTCTGACCAATCGCTGCCTCACCGGCCGGCGCCGGCTATCTCTTGATTGGCTCGCTTGGGGCGCGCAGCCGTCTCCCGCTCCTTCTCGGGAGCAAGGCAGACAAAAGACGCCGGCTCCCGACTCCGGCAACCGGGATCAGCCAATCAGCAACCACCTTACCTCTCTCCCCTCTCCCTCTCCCTCCCGGCCTGGCTTGCGAGCTCCCGGCACTGACTCCTGGAGTGCGGCCAGCGCCCGGACCGTACCATTTTGATTGAGGCTGGGGGAGAGAGAGGATGGCTGATAAAGGAACTAAGGCTTAGAGAGCGGTGGGAGAGTTGAAAGCCGAAATGGAGGAAGGCTTCCTGTACATTTTATGAGGCACCTGTCATAATCCAGCACAATGAGGCGGGATAGAGTGGGAGGGAGTGGTGATGCTAGCTTTCCCCCCTTCCCGGCGTGGTTGGGTTTCGCCTCAGCAGTTGGGGAGGGGGTGTGGAATCGTGGAGGCGGGGGAGGGTGTCCCCTCCGCGCCGTTAAAATGAAACTCTAGTGGCTGGAGTCCGGGCAGAGCGTGAGCGGAGCCGGTGCCGGCGGGGCTGCTTACACCCCGGCGGGAGCGCACAGCCGAGCCGAACTGACTGGACTCTCCGACGGGCCCCAATTCCAAGGCTGCGGCAGCTTCGGTTCCGAACCCGACCGGAACGGAGCCCAAGTCCCGGCCCCTGCGGGGATTGCTTTTTGCAGACTAGTGGGACCCCGAAACTTGAACTCAATCCCTAACCCCCTTTTTATGCCTGCCTTTGTCACTTCCCCGGCTTTCACCCAACGTGTTTTTTTCTCCTCCCTTCGTTCCTCCCCGCTCTTCATTCTCCCTCTGCCGAAGGACACAAAAGTGGCTTCCGCGGAAAGATTTGGAGGCGGTGGGAGCTTTTCTCTTTGGAGAGCGACTGTGTAGAAGGGATTTGGGGGAACCGCTTTTTACACCTCTGCCGTCCATCCCCCAAGCCTCTTGTACCCCTCCGAGAACAGCCCTTATCTTGAAAGTTCGGGGGGCATTTTGCTGGGTGCTGTAGGAAGAGAGAGGAGGAGGACCCTGTCCTCGTCCTGGTAGTTGGCTGGACTCGTACCGGCCGTTGGAAAGCCCGAAGTACATTTCCGTGTGGAACTTTTGCAGATCTATATTTTTAGATTTTAAATACCAGATAAAAAATATATATGCTCTCTATATATTTCCTGACGGCCTGCCCCTGACAGCGCGATGTACAATACAGTGTGGAGTATGGACCGCGATGACGCAGACTGGAGGGAGGTGATGATGCCCTATTCGACAGAACTGATATTTTATATTGAAATGGATCCTCCAGGTACTTGGGAGAAAAAAAGAATCTTATGATGGGTCTTTCTGTGTTTACCAATACCTTGGTGATGTTTTCAGGGTAGAAGTGTTCCTGGGTTCGCTAGATTCTGAATGAGGGGCAGATTTGCAGTTACAGCTGCAGTAAAACTGCTTCTGGTTTACTCGTTTAAAGTTTGCAGTTAGAACCCCGATCCTATTGTCCTGCAAAGGTGGGGGTGGGGGCTGGAGTGGGCTTGGGAGGAGAGACCTGATATTTTGAATTTTTTTTTTTTTTTTACGTTGTGTGTCGTTCAGGTTTTTCTTGTGCCTCCACTTTTCTTTTTTTCCTTTTTCGATCAAAGACTGTTCTACCTGCAAGGGACGTTTTATATCCCTCTCTTGAATTCCCTTTGGGTGAATTCTTTAAAGCTTGTCATTTCATACATTTGTCTAATTTGGTTCGTTGTGTTTTACCTTGGTTAACTTTTGAAACTCAGATGCCTATGTGATTATTCGTTTTGAGACTCTCTTCTGTTATAGAAACCAAATGCCGGTTAGTGATTTTTAGGGATTGGGCGTTCTTACTCGCTCATGGTCTTAGTCTGAGATTTTCCTCCATAGAATATAGTTGCTCAGAGAAATCTATGTGCAGTATTTTATTACTCTTTAATTTATGATGATTTAATTTATGGGATAGAGTTTAATAGAACTACAATACCTAGAGTAAAAAAGGAATGTTCCTCTTTCCTGTGAATATGTGATATGTACATATATGTGATAGGTTCCTATACACATAATATAAAGTATACATATGCAGTACTGTATTTTTATTTTAAAGCTTTGTCTGAGGCCATTACAGACGTTTTGTGTGTCTGGTAGGAAAGGAAAAGGAAGGGAAAATGGAAAATTTGATGTTTTTCTTTTTCATTAAAGTCTACTCTATTTTATGATTATTAGCTGTCAGATTTTCAACCCCCCCTTTGCAATTACAGACAGTGCTTTATGTAATGATTTTGAATAAGTAGAGGGCCTTTGTGACTGCTTGTTTCAATTGTGGATGAATTCTTTATGTATTTTAAAAATGTGTTGTAGCTTAAGCCTACAGAATAAATTGTGTGTCATTGGGGAACCTCACTTATTATAAGACTGTGTATTTTTGGAAACGTTTGAAATGATTTGACCCCATGCAAATGTAATGAAGTATAACTGTCTTATAGAAGGTATGTAGAAATTGTTTTCTGTGTTCTTGCAAACAGTGAATTATCCTCTTTATTTTTTTTTCAATTAGTCATAGTGTTAAATGATGCTATACTAACAACTAATATTGAAAAACCCTTTTTCACTCTTAATGATCACTTAGAATTTTTTTCTTTTCCTTCATTTTAGAGCCTTCTTTATTTGCTTTTATAATTGTGACTGCAATCCAGATGCAGCTTTTCAGTGTTTTGTAAAGTTTGTAAGATTTGCCACCCATCTATTGTGTTTCCCCTTTGTTTCCCCCATAATGGTAAAGCATCACTTCTATTAGATACATTTGTCATTCATAGGAATGGAAATCTAGTACATCACTGGTACCTCTCTTGCAAAAAGTAAGGTTAATAATTCTAGATTCCTGTTATTATAACAATTATATATTCAAACTGCCTTAGAATTATACTGTATTATATAGTATCTTGCCTTGCAGACATACAAAGGGAATTTGTTGGGTGGGAGGTGAATAGGGAGGAGGGGAGAAAATGAAGGCACTAATGGTTGAAAAATGTTGGCCTAGTAGAAAAATATTGGCCAAGTTGAGTCAAGTTGTCCAAAAATAATTTTAAGAAAAGTTGACTGTTACGATTATATGGAAATGTGGGTTTTATAACGTTGTATAGAAAATTCTGATCCAAACTTTATTTTCTATGGAAATAAACTTTTGAGTTTAGAATGTTATCCTTAAATGAAATTGTGCATACTGAGATTCTATTGAGAATATGGAAAATATACATATGCTGTTCTTTATTACCTATTTTGGAGCATTAATGTAGAATATGATTAGTTATTCCTAACAGCTTTTTTAAAAGGAAGCACACTTGAGTATGCTGAAACATTGCCTATGAAGTAAATGGTTTTTCATAGAAATAATGTGAATGCCAACTTTGTTTTGTGCAATAAATTAAGTTTTTAAAGCATTTAAAACTATATCATTAGTGAAATGGTTGCAGCATGCTTTATATGTTTTTCTAGCTGTTACCCCAGTTCAAGTTTATAACTCTTATTTTCTGCTTGTACTGGTGTGATAGCACACGGACTGTTGTCTCCTGTTTCTACAATCCACAGTAATTAGTTAAAGTATCATCTGATGATTTACCTTCAAAAACTAATCTAATGGCTTTAAAAACCTTCCAATGTCTTCCCTTTCGCTACTAAGAAGAACACCAGATTGCTTACCCTGTCATATAAGTCCCTCTATTTTTGCTTACAATCTAATTTTCCAGTTCATTCTCCTCCTGGCATTCATCATAAATTCTGTGAAAGCTATATTGTATTTGCTGTTCCTTGAATGTATGCTTTTTTCTTCTTCCTGGATGCCTTTCACTCCCCATGGTCACATGTTAAAATTTTATATACATATGTTTAGGACCCCGGTCAGGTGCCTTCTTTGCCAGGATATATGTTCCCTGATCCCTTCTGTTAGAAGTTATTCCTCCTTCATTTTCCCTCCCTCTTCTAACATTCTCAGATGGAATTTCTTTCATTTTGCTTAGAGTAACTACTGTACTTATTTATGTATACTTTCCCCTGTGGAATTGTCCTCCCACCTGGTTATGAATGAGTGTCTTAGGTTGCTCAGGGTCTTGAGAATAGTAGACAATTTAATCAATATGCGTTGAATTAATAAATAACTAAGGAGCACCGTTTTTTTCCTAGCCCTCAGGTGCTTTTCCACTTAAGGTCCTTGGTCATCTCATTCCTTGGCTATTGCAATAGCCTAGGGTTAAATAACTTTTGAATTAGACATTTGTTTACTTAGGGCCTTTAACTGTAATGGTGCCACTATTTTTTATATGTATTTCATCTTAATTTTAGACAGAACCATAAATGTAAAATTGTTATGTATTATTGCTTCAAGTGGCCTCAAAAACTGTTTTTTTAAAGATGTTTCCCTCCAGGCTGTATTTTCAGTAACTGTCATTACTGTGCATCCTGAAGGTTTCTAAATAACTGCATGGATTCCTATGTCTGCTCTCACCGATAACATAAAAGTTGAATCCAAATGGGGATTTAATGTTTTAATGTTTATGTATTTCCTGGCAGAAGTAGAAATACTGAACTGTTGAGATGAAACATAAAGCTTTTTATTGTAAAAATGTTAAGATTGTGGTACAGAGAATTGCTTATAAGCATCTTGGTTAGTCCTGCTGTGAATTTGGGAATTGGGATTACTCCATAGCAAAGCAATTGCTGGGTAGGCCTCTCAAAGATTGTCTCATTTGGTATAGGAGCTATTGGAGGATTACCCATATACAACTCATTATAAACCCATGCAAAAAGCTTATATAGCTAGTGATCTTATTAGCTCAGCACTTTAGTTTTGACATTGTTATTGGTTTTATTTTAGGAAAATGTAATAAAAATTTTAAAAATTTAAAAATTAATGAACACAAGTCTTAAGAGTGTAGACTTTTTTAGTTTTCATCAAGACAAACTTTTGAAATTATCTTTAGGGTAGCAATATCTCTTCAGTAGGTAATTAGAAAATTAAAAGTTTTAATTGTTTGGTTAAATGTGAATATAAAGAAGGTCTAGAAACATGGTTCTCAATTTTTTTGATCTTAGTACTCCTTTTAGACTCTTAAAAAATTGTTAAGAACCCCAAAGAGCTTCTGTTTAAGTGGTTGTATCTATTGATATTTGCTGTGTTAGAATGAAACCGAGAAAATGTAAAAAAATTTATTTAATTAATTTTAAAAAATGAAGCTTGTGATAACATAACTTTTTAAATGAAAAAAACTATGTTTTCTAAAAAACAAGAAAAATTAACAAGAAGAGTAACATTGTTTTATGTTTTTGCAAATATCTTTGATATTGGACTTCACAGAAGACATATAAATTCCCATGTCTGCTCCTGCATTCAGTCTGTTGAGATATCACAGATCATAGCCTCTGGAAAACTCTACTGTACAATTATAAGAGAATGAGAATGAAAAAGGCAAATAATGTCTTATTAATACTATGAAAATAGTTTAGACATCTTAGACCTTCTGAAAGAGTCTTTTGAACTCTGGACCACATTTTGAGAACTGCTAGTCTAGAAGTTATACTACATAGTTTGGTGGCCAATAGGTAAAATATCTTCTGATTTTGAGGCCAGATGTAAAGGTTTTTTTCAAGGAAACTTATTTACTTACCCTGGCCTACTTGGTATTTTCAACCTTGTAAAATTTAGATAAAGTAACATTTTGGTGGAAAACTGGTACATTTGCCCTGTGGTTGGGGAAAATATTTGCTGAGACCCACACTGAAGACATAGATCACCTGCCACTGCATGGTTCTTACTCTTAGCAGCTTGGGTATCCTGCTTCTGTGGTTGAATTTTTCTCTTTAATCCTAGACTTTTGATGGGTTCACGTTATATACAAATGCTTCTCCTGTGTGTGGTAAGGTATTTCTTTTATGATCTAGGTATCACTTTTTAATTATATTGTAATATGGGACAAATGTTAAATTAATACAATCAAATGATGTAAAAGCCATGCCAATATTTTTCTTTTTTTTTTTTGAGACAGAGTCTCACTTTGTTGCCCTGGCTAGAGTGCCGTGGTGTCAACCTAGCTCACAGCAACCTCAAACTCCTGGGCTCAAGTGATCCTTCTACCTCAGCCTCCTGAGTAGCTGGGACTACAGGCATGCGCCACCATGCCCGGCTAATTTTTTCTATGTATTTTAGTTGGCCAATTAATTTCTTTCTATTTTTAGTAGAGACGGAGTCTCGATCTTGCTCAGGCTGGTTTCGAGTTCCTGACCTTGAGAATCCTCCCACCTCGG